AGCTTCTCATGAGTGCCAAGTGCTATGCAAAGACATTTTAAATATTTTTCTTTTTTATTTATTGGTTCTTTGTTGCTTGTTTGTTTGTTTGGTGACAGGATCTTTCTTTGTAGCTCTGACTGTCCCAGAACTCTCTATGTAGACCAAGCTGACCTTGAACTCACAAATTTCTCTTGTTTCTGTCTCCCAACTGCTGGCATTAAAGGCAAGCTGCTTTTTTTGTTTGGTCGTTCGCTTCTTTTGGACAGAATCTCCCCATATAATTTGGCTGGCCTTGAACTCACAGATATCTGCCTGCTTCTACCTCACAAGTGCTAGAATTAAAGGCATTTGCTACCACACCTAACTACTCTAAATAGCTAATAATAATGTCTTAAATCTTCTTTACAAATTATTGATTACTGTCAGCAGTTTATTGATGAGGAATCAGAGACTTGGATAGGTTATGTAACTTGTCAAGATCTTGTAGGCAGTAAATGTTTGCCCAGGAATTCAAACACACATATTTTTGATCCGTAAACCTATAGCTGACTACTACTTTCTCACCTTATTGCTGACAACCAAATGAAGGAAGAGATTAATGTACACATAAAGGAACCAATGAGTGACTTTAACAAACTGTATTCACCAACTAACAAAACGAATTTCAAGAAGCAGTTGGCAGGTGTTAGTTGACACTGTGGTCATCAGATAGTTCTTTGTGCAAGGCAGATTCCCCTTTGGAAAATGTTACACCCAGGTATTCATTACCACTGCTTCTTTCTCAACTGAACCAGCACACGTTAGATGACATGTGTCCACAGTGCCGGGCTGAAATGGATGAACTCCCGAGGCACAGAGTGACCAGCACTTAGCCTCGAGTGCGTACAGGCTGTTTGTGGGAAAGTGTCTGATGCCCAAATCTTCCCTTCTTCAAGGACAACACTCATAAGAGTCATACTCCAGTCCTGACATTTTGCTTTACTTGAGATGCAGAGGAAGAGGTGAAAAGGTAAGAAGACGCCCCCGGGGACTCGGGAATTCCAGATAAATCTCTTGTCCCGAGGGCTTGGATAGTGGGTTGTTTTCATAGAGGGCTAAACTAGACTGTTTTTCAGATCTGAGACTCTTCTTATTCAAAGGAAATAGACTAAGTCTGTTCTCTTTAAAAAGGTTTTCTCAGGCCAGCAAGATGGCTCAGCAGGGATGGGTGCTCACGGGTAGGGGTGCTCAGTGAGTAGGGGTGCTCAGCGGGTAGGGGTGGTCAGTGGGTAGGGGTGCTCAGCGGGTAGGGCTGCTCAGCAGGGAGGGGTGCTCAGCGGGTAGGGCTGCTCAGCGGGTAGGGCTGCTCAGCGGGTAGGGCTGCTTGCCTTTGCCAGGCCTGACGAGCTCAGTGTTATGGCTGGAACCCACATGATGGAAGAGAGAATCAACTGCCACCAATTGTTCTCTGACCTCTGCTCACATTGCAGCACATGCATGCCCCCTCAATTAATTAATTAACTAATTGTGGGGAAAATTAAAAGTATTGTCCAAAGAAAGTCTTCTAATATTTGGGGAAAGATTACCAAATGTTTAAGCATATTTCTGAATTTTGCTATTCTTATTTTATCATTAATAAATTACCCAAAGAATATTCACATGTGTAAAAGTAAACAAATATATAAGAAACTAAAGTGGCAGTGAACCCGGGTGGGCATGGTGTTGTTCGCCCTTAATCCCAGCACTCTGGAGGCAGAGGCAGGTGGATTTCTTTGAATTAAAGGCCAGCCTTGTCTACCAAGTGGATTCCAGGACAGCCAGGACTAAGTAAAGAGAGACCCTGTCTCAAAAAAAAAAAAAAAAAAAACGAAAGAAAGAAAGAAAATTCAAAATAAGGGTCTTGGGGGAGGGAATCACCACCACTCTCCAGATTCTGTCCTCAGAATTAACTAATGTTAATGTTAACAGTTTCCACAGATTTTTTTTCTAAGTATATACACCCTACACTTGTATCCATTTGTGCACATAAACATATACAAGCAAATACAGTTAAATATACAAATGTAGCATCTTCCTGTACCATTTTCTTTTTCCTTGGTGACATGTCATGGACATGCACAGGTTGATACCATGCTTCGTTACTAGTATGTAGAATTCCATACATATACCCAGTACAGCTGTTCTTCACTATTCTCTAACTGGGAGCTTCTTTCTATGTCTTTAGTTTGCTCTTGGAAACCACAAAGCAACAGACAAGTGCCTTTACGAATGCTCATGCTTGGATTTCTGTAGCAGAGCTTCTTTTCCGTGGATTTACTAGGTCAAAGAGCCCTGTGTTTTCATGGTCAATAATTATGGACAAATTCCGGAGTAACCATTTTGAAGCTTCTATCCTGAGGACATTTTCCATGACGTTTCAACTGACTGAGACCCATACTTCTAGGATATCTCACTCCCAACCTCACAAAATTCTTCCCCAGAAAATTTGACATCTTTTCCCTTCAAGGGATATTTTAGCTTCTACCCAACCTTCCTTTATTTCAGAGGGATGTTATTTATTTGAGGCAAAATTTTAAAAACCTTATGTCCCAAGTAAGAGATGGTCACCTCCACTGTACATGTTTTGCCCTTGGTCAACATATACAGATATTTAACTTCACCAAGTTCAAGTCCAAGTTTCCATCCGACCGTTTTCAATTGTGCAAGCAAAAATAACATTGGATTGAAAAGGACAGGAAACATAGGAAATATATAGGAAGCTGTTATTTGTTTAAGATTGGTGCAAGGAAAGGTTGAAAAGAGTTGTAGAAAAAAACCACCGGAACAAGAACCTGAAATCACCTCAAGGGGTGGCACACTTTTAATCCCAGCAGTTTGGAGGCAGAGGCAGGAGGATCTCAATGAGTTCCAGGCCAGCCTGGTCTAGAGAGTGAGTTTCAGGACAGCCAGAGCTACACAATGAAATCCCCCGTTTCAAAAACCAAAACAAAAGGATTTGAAACCATGCCATAAACTTCAAGCTTCATAAACATTGATTTTGTGGTATGCTACAAAAAGAATCTTCATAATTTTATCAAACGTCTTTTATGTCAAGATGTTTTTATAGAAATTATTTCTAACCTTCTCAATAAACTTTCTACACAGCTTACAATATCTCCATAGTTTACAATATCTTCATTGGACAGACAAGGAAACTGAAGCTCAGAAATCTCGTGCAAGGTTTTGCAGCAAGTGAGGTGTTCAAGTTGACTCAAGTTCACCTGATTTTCTTTCTTACAGCAGCACTGTCTGTCTTGCCACCCCAGGTCTTGACTCCAGCCTTCATGCAAATGGATTTGCCAAGATGCAGAGCTTGGCTCAGTCAGGGGGACATGCTGAGATAAGTGATTTTTTTCCTGGGAAAGTGGTTAATAGGTCACCTGTCAAAGAACATTGTAAATGAGGTGCTAAGGATGTAGCTCAGTTGGTAGAGTCCTTGCCTAGCATGCAGAAGGGCCTGGGTTCTATTCCCAGCACATTATAAAACCAGATTAGATAAAGTGGTGCAAGTAATCCTGAGTTTAGAAGGTGCCAGGGGGATCAGAAGTTCAAGGTCATTCTCAGCTAACATGGAGTTCTAGACGAATCTGGTTTTCATGAGATCTTATCTCAAAAAAAAAAAAAGCCAAAATCAATTAACTCTCCGAAAAAAATGGAGGAAGAAAAAAAAAGGAATGTTATAGATGAAAGTCTGCAGTTGATCAGATGCTGCATCAATAAACTTTCAAACCCTCTTCCTCCAACATCCATTTTCTACAGAAAGGAAGAGACATACAGAACGATAAAGAGCTTGGCTCAAGCCCACAGCTGACGGGCCAGAACTTTGGTGTCTCTCCTCCTCACCCAGCCACTAGCAGATCCAAGCTTCCAAATTTGCAGACACACTTTTAACATATATAACCACACATATATACCTACATAACTACAAAAGGCTGACTCCCTTCATTAATTTGTGTGTGACTTTGGCTAACCTAGGCTCCACACTTTTCTTCTGCTCCTGTCTCTCACATAAACAAAGGCACAAGGAAGGATCTAAGGCAAGACCATCTGGGGTCATCTTACTTTTTCAATGCTCTGAATTCCTAATCCACCACAATGACGAATAGTCCTGATGTACTTAAAGCTGCAGCATAGGAAAAGGAGAGCTGGAAATACGAAAGCCAAGCCCAACCACAGGTGTATTCTGTCAGAATTCTGGTGGTCTTCGGAAAAGCACTCAGGGCTGTATCAATCCCACTGCCCCTCGGAAAAGGAGAGAAGACCCCTGGGGGTGGGGAGCAGTGGTGGTGCAAGCCTTTAATCCCAGCACTCAGAAAACAGAGGTGGGCAGTTCTCTGAGTTCTAGGCCAGCCTGCTCTACATAGTGAGTTCAGATCCAGAACAGCCAAGGCTATGTAAAAGGACCCTGTCTCAAAAAAGAAACAAACAAAAAACAAAAAGAAAAGAAAAGAAAAAGAAAAAATGAAAGAAAGAGAAGAAACCAGAACTGGGCCGCAGCATGTTGTGTCCTGGGTAGACTTCAAGGAGAGTGGCTGGGAAGACCATCCTGTGCCCGAAGTGACCCTGTGTGTTGGAGAGTAGGCTGCTTGCTGTGTGCACACTCATTCCATCCCAGGGACACGCCAGACGAGAGGCCCGGCTGGTCTCTGAGTTACCTCCCTGACAGAGAAACGACATCACCTCTCAGAAAAAAGAACCCACCTTTTTGGGGGGGGGGGGGGGAATGCACCTATCCTCCATCCCAAAATCTTTGTAACAAAAGATAAACCAAAATTGAAAACTGAGGGCCTTGCTCTTGTATCTGGGGCCTGACTTAGGCAGATACTTAAATTCTTACTGTTTAATTTAATGTAAAACTCGGGTGCACACACTGCTGTAAAGGCTGCCGTTAAAGCTTTACCATTAAGTTAACGATTAACATCCAAGCAACCTGAATCTCAGAAAGTCTATTTATTTTGACTACCTAGTTCAGGGAGATTTTTTTTTTAAATGTAGCTTTAAATAGTCAGAGAGAACCTCATGTACGGGTAGATGGAAGGGCCAAGTTCCGACTCTCAATGGCCAAGCTGTGTCAGAAGGCGAAAGGAAGGGGTGGAAATGCAGGATTCTGGAGCCACTGTGTTCCAGGGACTGAAAATCCAACATCTGTTATTCCCTGACTCTTTGATCTCAGGCAAATCACTCAGGACCTCCACTGCATTGTTTCTAACTGGGTATACTAGGGTAATGCCTGATGGAGAGCTAAGGGTGGTTACATGAGTAATAAAGAGCTTGCAATAGCTCCCATCCAGGGTAAGTCCTCAGCAAAGGTTAGCAACAGTACTCCATCTTTCAATGGTAAGAATGATGACCTCCTATTGCTTGCATCTCCAATGAGGCAACTGGCCATACAGAATCCGTCTAGTTTTGTATCTGGATATTGTTGTTATGTTTAGTTTTCACAAATAGCAACCGCTCGCTCCTAAAAATATAAAATAAAAAGTTCATTAGACTGGCTTTAACAGTTGATCTCTGTCAATGTTGCCTGCAATCTGCAAGTGATTAGCTTTCATTTTTATGACTCCTGTTAAACTGTAACAGGCTTGTTATCTCTCCCTGGGTGTGGTTTACACTCAGAATGCTGTTAGCTGTGTTAGGCATCCATTTCAGCTATCATGATGAGTGAGATGGTGAGAAACTCGCCTTGTTCTGTTGTTCATAAGACATGAGTTATTAATTTCTTAGAGTCTTAGAGTTATGGGTCTTTAAAAATATGGGGAGAAGAAGGTCAGCAAAGGACGAGGCTTTAACCCAAATGATTAAAAGGACAGGATGTTCTTTTTTCCCTTGGGGGCCACAGAAGGAAATGAGAACTAAATTTGATGTTATGAGTTCTCATGTTCACAAATTGATGTCTTAGGTTTGTGTGTCCTAGTAATTATGTCCTGCTTCGGATAAGGTTCATCCTGAGCGTTTAATCCTAAGGTGGAGATGCAGTTATTGAGGCAGCTGCCTAGAAACTCTAAGAGTTGAGAGCTTCCAGGGAGGTGTCTACTTATGCATAAACGCAGGGCAATTGTGAAATGGGATCCAAGGGTTACACTCCAGCTCTTCATTTCCTTCCCTCTTTAGGGGGGTGTGACTGATGTTAGTCCCTAGAGCTGTCATTCTCTGCCTGATATCAGACACTTAACACTTCAGTGAAACAAGTCAAGATGTTACCACGCCCAGGAAGGACTTGCTATGAAATCTCTGTCTCTAATTGTAGACTGTGAGATTTGTATCACCAGATCACAGCTTATAGGACAAGTAAGTGAGACCGGACAGGCATTCCCTGCAGGAGTAGGACTCCAGCTTATGCTGAAGGAAAAACTGGATAATCTGGCCTGGGAAAGGACAGGGTGCCAAGCCAGTTCTGGGAGATCTTTGAAGTCTTATCTATTGGAATTCTCTGCAGGGACCTCCCCTGAGCGGGACTCTGATCTTAAATCTTTGTGACACTCTACTCCAGACTCACATGCCAGGGAGGGAGCATCCCTATCACAGGAAAGGGCAGGATGCCAGCACCATAGCAATGGAGTGAAAAAGGGGTTCCTTGAAGGACCTTGGGGCACCCTTCCCAGAAAAGGAATGGATGCTGTGCAAACAAAAATTACATTTGCTGCGACCACCAAGAAAATTTCACAGACCTGTATGCACAGTACACCTCGAATATTCTAGCAGGTAGGCACCCAATTTTCTTCATATGTCAGCCCCTTCTAAATGACCCTATTCTGGTCTCCAAGCACCGACTATCAGTCAAATGAAATAGGAGAGACTTTAGGATTCCTTCACTGGTTTTCTCTCAAAAGCTTTGAATCAATATGTTGCAACTTCACTGCATTTAAGAATATCATCATATGTATGTATGTATGTATGTATGTTTACATGTACATATGAACCCAGGGTGGCCTTGAACTCATGATCTTTCCACCTCAGGGGCCTCTGGAGCTAGGGTTAAAGGCATCCAATACTTTGGGATACCACTGAAATGTGACTTCTAAGGTGAGCATTTGTGTGAACACTGACAGAGCTAAACTACTGCATTAGTCTGCAGTCCACAGCCATCTACAGTGTGGGTCCTACAGTTTCCGAAGTGCAGCCCAGCCCACAACAGCAGAGTTTGGTAGAGATGGGTTAAGGTGAAGGCTGTTTTTTAAATAGTAAATAATCTGGCCAGATTTTGGTGTTGCTTAGCTTTGAGATCTACTGAACCAGATAAAAGGGAATTCCCAAGTGTTTACTGGGTTCCTTTCAGTGGTCTAGACACAAAGACTACCACAGTGAACGAGATAAACTAGGCTCCTGCTCTTCTAAGACGTAAGGGGAGGAAATGACTGTTACACAACAATAATTACAGGATGGAGTAAGTTGTCAGGAAGAGAGAAGATGGACACCTCGAACCCAAGGGAATCTTCACTTTGCTTGACAAACCGTTGCTTCTCAAGTCTTCTTCATCTCAGGTATTGGTGCCACGGTTTCTCCCAGGCCCTTAGGCCAAAGGCCGGGAGCCTGAATCTCCCTCTCTTCTCCTTCCCTCACTTAGCCTGTACACAGCATCAACAAGTCACGTGGGCTCTGCCTCCAACAGCAAAGCCAGAGCATCTATCTCTGCCCTTAACCAAAGCTACCCCCGCAGGGCCCCAGCTGCTCCCGTAAGTGTGACATCAGTGGCTTCCTAACTGTCTTTCCAGCTTCTGACCATCTCCGTGTAGCCTTTAGTCTCTGTACAGCAGCAAGGCTGAGATTTCAACTAGAAACGAGACTCCTTCCTTGGCCGGAAGCCTTCCGAAAGTCAAACAAACACTCCTGGGATCTGCCGAGTTTTCATGATCCAGCCCCTGCCCAGCTTTCTAGCCAGTCTCCTGCCCCTCCATCACAGCGCTCCACTCCCCTGCCCTCCCTCCCCGCTGCCTCTCAAGCACAGCAAGTTGATCCAGCTTCATGAACTTTGAACTTACCTGTCCATCCGGCTGCCTGACTACAGACCATTTGGGTCTCATCTCATCCTAACAAAAGGAGCACCCGCCCGCCACATCCACCGTCCAGAAGTGTGGGTATCTGCAACGTTTCTCCCTACTCAGTTCCACTCTAACGTCTCTGCTTTCTCAATAGAAGGAAAATGAAGAGATCTTTATTTTGCTCACTGCTCTGTCCCTGGCACCAGAAAAGCAGCTGGCACATAGCAGGAAGTCAACCAACACTGTTACCTTGGGAAGTGAAGATCAGCGAGGAGATTAACAGGAAGTAGTATTGGAGGTGGGCAGCTTGGGCTGTCCGTGAAGGGAAGCTCTTTTAGGACTATATGTGTAATGCCGCCGGGCCTTTGGGCTACATTAAGGGCCGGGTTTGGGGTTTGTAGAACACATACATTCTAACTTTGTTTTCTTCTAATTCTCCACTCCAGACAAACAGGTTTGCTGTTGTTCTACTGACGTGCCTCCTTCCCCCTCTTCTTCTGTCCCTCTTGAGCGAAGAGACCTGAGTCATGCATTCACCATGCATACATTCCTGAGCACAGTTCTGGGTGGACCTGACCTACAGGGTGTACAGGCACCCCTGTGCCCTACTTCCTCCACCATCAAAAGACCATTGTCCAGACAGTCACATTTTATTGAAAATTTAGGTCAAGGTATTACTGCTCCCAGGAAAGACTTGTTTCAAAAACTTTATCTCTAACTGCAGACTGCAGGGTTTGCATCACCCAGTGTACTCTCCACGCAGAGACCCCTCCCAGTTTTCTCCAGCAGAATTGACTCCCCATTCCTCTCCGCACACACTGGGGGTTGACCTCAGGACCCTGCACATGCAGGCCAAGTATTCTACCACTGAACTATTCACCCCCTTTATTTCAAGATAGAATCTCACCAAGCTGCCCAGGATGGCCTTGAAGCCACTCTGTACTTCAGACTGGCCTGAACTTGCCTCAGCCTCTAGAGTAGCTGAGGTGACAGTCCTGTGCCACCATGCCCAGCTCCTTACTCTTTGAGTCCATTGTATATTCCATGACTGGTGAGTGGGGGGGGGGGGATTCTTCTGTGGCCTTCTGTTTCTTCATGTGAGCAAGAGAACTCATAATACTGACTTAGCAGAATTGCTATCATGACTAAACATGCACAGAACTCCCAGCTCAGAGCTTAACACAGAATCATTCATTATATGGTGGCTACAGCAGTTATTATTTCTTCTTCTCGTTATTAAAAGTATAGCTGGATCATAATAATTATTAACATAGAAAATATTATCCATAACGTGACAGTACTTTATTACGTGTTTATCATTTGCTAGAAGCTTCACATTTGTTATCTCATATGAGGTAATTTTATAATCTAGTTACTTCATAGATTTCTGTTTTATTTCACAACTAGACAGGCTGTATATTTTTAAAAAATAATCCTCTCGGTGCCAGATGAGTATATTGCTCATAATAAGGATTCAGAACTATTTGTAATTACGTGTAGTTCCGAGATTTAGAGACTTGAATTATGTCAGAGCATAAGCTGATTTGGAAAGCCAGATCAGTGTGTCTGCAAGTTTTGTTTAAAAGCATGGGTTTGGTTATGCAAGATGCTGAAGAAGTGTGCTGGTGGAAGATCTGTCTTCCACTGGTTCCAAATATGCATGTGAGCACCTACTATGTGTTAGGCTGTGTTACAGGTAATTAGTATGATCTTCTAAAGCTGGGAAACTCAGGGGTCTGGCGGCATAGCCGGCGGTACAACATGTGCTTAGCATGTGTGAGGCCCTGGATACAGTCCTGGTCACTCCCCTCTCAAACACATAAACAAATGAAGGAGGAAATTATGGCATTAACTTGTCAGTGTTTCTGGCATGTTTATAAACGGTACTTTTGCAGTTGCATTCTCCCAAGAGATGGGCTAATTTGTTAGAATCTAAGTGCTTAGAGAATACACAGAACATGCAGCCTAATGAACAGTCAGGTTCTGGTGTCAGAAAACCTAGGCCTGAATCCCAGCTCTGCTAATGATTTGCTTTGAGACCCTGGGCAAGTTGCAGAAGTAACAATAAGGCTCTTGCCTCAGTTTCTTCACCTATAAATAAAAACAGTAGTACCTACCTTTAACGTCTATTCAGAGCATGAAGTTAAGCGCATAAAACATTCAGTACGGGCATGCTTTGTTTTATTAGAGATAGAGATTGAGCCTCAGGGCCTGGTGCATGCTAAGTAGTTGCTCTATCAACATCTGCAGCCCAGGACTGGCATGTTTTAAAAACTCAAAATATGGACTAGAGATATGGTTCAGCCACTAAGAGCACTGGCTGCTCTTCCAGAGAACCCAGGTTCAGTTCTCAGCTTCCACATGGCTGCTCACAACTGTCTTTAACTCCAGTTCAAAGAGGATCTGACGCCCTCTTCTGGCTTCCCCAGGCATAAGCATGCATGTGGTTCACAGAAAGACATGCAGCCCAAACACCCATACACATAAAATAAATCTTAAAAAGAAACTCAAAGTATCAGCTCTCCTTCCATTACTAGCTTATATTTACTCTACAGATCATAGCAAGAATGGGGAACAAAGAGAATGCAAACCCAAACTCAGTTTTGGGCACAGAAAAGGGAATGAACGCATACTCCAGTTAGTCAGACATCAGAATAGAAGCTCTACAAAAACTGAGTCATTTAACCTCACCCATCAAGCAGGTATTATCTTAAGGGTATCAGGAAGTATCTTGGACAAGTTTACAGAGTAGAAAAGGCGTGGCCAGATTAGTCTCTATCTGAATCCCTTTCACCTAATGGAGCAAGAGCGGAGCTGCCTCTTGAGTGTTTTATTTAATCACGTCTCTGAGGCACCATACACACTGCATTCTATAGAACCACAGTGCTCAACTGGGGTCCTATATATTCAAGACTCATCTGGAGTGATTCAGTCTACAGCCCCAGAGTTAAAAATTCTGATTCAGTATATTTGAGGTAGAGACGAGGAATCAGTATTTTTGGAAACGCCGAGTGATTCTGTTGCAGGTGGTGTCTGATTACATCCTATACATACAGCCATATCTGTCAAGATAGTTTAGCAGGTGAAGGCACCATTTGATAAGCCTGAAGACCCAAGTTCAATCCCTGGGATCCACATGATAATAGGAGAGAATCAACTCCTGAACATTTTCCTCTGACCTCCACATGCAAACCATGACTCGTGGGCACTCACACACAAAGACCAAACGAATAAAAATGTAATAGAAGGGGCTGGCAAGATGGCTCATTTTCACGTATGTATTGAAGATTAACAGCCGACAAGTTATGACTATATGATGAAAAGATGCCTACACAACTGATATATTTTAGGTTTTATGCAACGATGACGCCATTTGCATCCACTTGCCAGTTTCTCTGTACACAAACTGATGACATTTCCATTTCCCTATTTCTTTTTCTTAAAGGGAAGTAAGATCTTTATGTGCTTCCCAAGTAAAGCAGGCAGAATGGGTTGTTTTGAGGACTCAGGTAGACATCAAGTCTCTGGCTCTTCCTTGGTGTCAATCTTAGCTGGGGCCTCAACAGCAGTGGTGGCAGGTGGCTGCAGAGGCAGAAGCAGAGGCATCAGTGATGGCAGTTGCTATAGTGGTGGCAGCCACAAATGCTGATGGACATCTTTGAGCTTTTCAGCAGATGGGAAGGTAGTCTCAGTCTCCACAGACAAAGCCAAGACCCACCTGTACTCATTGATAATAGACTATAGTTGGTGGCATTTAGACAAAGGTCTGCAGACAAAACGTGGACAACATTGTGGGTGGGCACCTGTCTTAATTAGGGTTTCTATTGGTTCGAAGAGACACTGTGACCATGGCAACTCTTATAAAGAAAAACATTTAACTGGGGCTGGCTTACAGTTGCAGAGATTTAGTCCATTATCTTTGTGGCAGCTTGCAGGCAGACGTGATGCTGGAGAAGAAGCTGAAAGTTCAACATCTTAATCAGCAGGCAGCAGAAGGAAAAACTGCCAGACTTGAGCTTGTAAGACATCAAAGCCCGCCTCCACTGTGACACACTTCCTCCAACAAGGCCACACCTACTTCAACAAGGCCACACCTCCTAATAGTGCCACTCCCTATGGGCTAAGCACTCAAACACATGAGTCCTTGGGGGCCATATCTACTCAAAGCACCACAGCACCCCTCTACGAAGGAAATGAGAGGGCAATTTCCCTTTGATGGCAAACACCTGCTGGACAGTCAACCCAAAGAAGTAGGGGGAGGCAGTCAGCACCTGCAATGATGTGGCTGAGCTAACTCCCACTGTGTCTGCGATCTTAAGTCACCAACACACCATCAGTTTCAAATGTGCCTCTGAGGAGTTTAGTGGTGAGGCCTGAAGCCTGGAAAATGTTGTTTTTTTTTTTGGTTCCAGACCAGTGTTCTGGGATGGCTTAGTGACTTCGCACTAGGCAATAGCCTCAGCTCCAGAAGCGGGTGGTACCTCATTGGCTAGCAGCATGCCCTTGATCTCGGTGAGGTCCTCCTTGGTGAACACAAAGCCCACATGCCCTGCATATGAGGCAACAGTTTCTCCAGAGTCAGCTTGCATTCCAGATGCCCTGGAATGGCCTTGCATATCACAGTGTTCTCGGCTATCAAGACCATAGCCTTCCCTCCAAGGGACAAGCAGGTCTGCTGCATTTGCTTGGAGCCTACATTGTCTGTTCCCACAAAGAAACATTTTGGATAAGGCTCAGAAGGTGGATGATCTTAAAGGAGTCCTCGGGTTTCCAAGTCACCCCATCTTCCCTGGGCATCATAGTGGTGAGTCTACCAGAGATTGCTATGCAAGATTTAAAGACGAGGTCATGCTAATGAGAACGCCTGATGAGAGAAGGCCTAATGATTTTTTTTTTTTTTAAATCAGTGGTTCTCAACCCTCCTAATGCTGGGACCCTTTAATACAGTTCCTCATGTTGTAGTGACTCCCAACCATAAAATTATTTCCATTGCTACTTCATAACTGTAATTTTGCTACTGTTATGAATCATAATGTAAATATCTAATATGCAGAATATCTAATATGTGACTCCTGTGAAAGTTTGTGACCTACAGGTTGAGAATTGCTGTTTTAAGCAATGATGCCATTATTTAAAATGTTTATTCCGCCGGGCGGTGGTGGCACACGCCTTTAATCCCAGCACTCGGGAGGCAGAGCCAGGCGGATCTCTGTGAGTTCGAGGCCAGCCTGGGCTACCAAGTGAGCTCTAGGAAAGGCGCAAAGCTACACAGAGAAACCCTGTCTCGAAAAACCAAAAAAAAAAAAAAAGTTTATTCCAAGAAAGAACACACACACACACACACACACACACATGCACACACACACACACATACACACACGTATTTCACAGCACTAAACCAGGGATCTTCAACCGAATCACATCATCCTTATTAGTTCCCTTAGCACTACCCTCTCTTTGATGACCAGAGGACTTGAGCTGTTGGGTGGCTAGAGCACTCTACACCCAGGGCTTCCCACCCTTCTCCTGTTCTATTGGCATTTTCCTGTGAGGAAATTTTTGCCAAAAACAGGGGCTGTAGCCAGGCACCGGGGCTAGACCTGATGACTCTTATGTCATCATATGAGTGTGGATTGCTTTCTGTGGGTGAGCCTCTTATTAGCTGATTCCTATTTGTAGCAGTTGTTTGCTTACTTCCTTGGTGATGATGATTTTTAAGCCACCAAACAGAAAAAAAATACTTTTAAAAAAAAAAGAGGACCCTGAGGGTGACGGCTCACTAACCCACAGGGATTTATCAAGCCTGACTTAAACAGTTGTCTGTCAGATATTAACCAAGGTAATTCCTTTAAAACAAACCATATAGGTCACACAGTGCTAATAAAATATGCTGATGAATCCTTGAGTATTTTGCCCTGATTATGTCTCCTTGGGGAATAGAAAACTCATTAGCATGAACTCCTTGTCGGTCCTTCCTGCCTTGTTCCTCAGTTGCTTCCAGACAGGCTTGGCACAAAGCGGTGATCAGAATGTGTGCAGTGTGGTCAAGTCGCAGAGGAACGGCTCTTCTACCCCACTGATTGCACGCGACATCGAATGGCATGCAAGGCTGCTATGCTTCGTCGTTAAGTCTACTTTTCTGTCTGAGCACTTTAAAAAGTAAATTCAGATGACTGGGCTACAGAGAGAGTTCTCTATACATGTTTAGCACTTCATACTCAACTGCAGATTGTAGTTCCCAACATGGGAAAATCCTCAAAGCTGAGAAGTGGTTATAAATTGGAAACAGCAGGGGTGTATGTGTGTGTGTGTGTGTGTGTGTGTGTGTGTGTGTGTGTGTGTGTGTGTGTGTGAGAGAGAGAGTGTGTGTGCG